GTCTACGAGGAAACGATTTCGTACGATGATGGGCGAATGTACTGTGTCCGATTTGAGCTCAAGTTTGATGAGTTACGTGTAGTAAATCGTAGGTATTATAAGGCTAGTAAATGACGAATTTCCCTTGTTTATTGATGTCACACTCCTCCCTATTATCTACTCCTGATCGTTACTAAGCACAACTTTTGGAAACCCCTATCGTAACGCTGATTGGCTAGTGCTATGTGTCAACTACATTAGACGGATGGGCCGAATGCTTTTCTGGTTATGTGTCTAGGTGGCGCCACAAACAGAACTAAGTCACGTGCGGTTCACATAGTTGACGAATCAAATATTATCTTTTCTATGACGCAATGGCTGCTATTACCCGCCTGCCCTGCCCCCTGGTGGTAATTGTGCGTTTGTTTGTGCGTAGGGATCAGTAAACTCGTTCCCGCGCTAGCGTCTGCTGCGGCAGCTGCGTTGTTGATTGTCATCGTCATCGTCGTCATCATCGTCGTCATCAGGTAAGCTAGATGTAAATGTGTGTACGTGCGTGCGTGTGTCTGTTAGTCTGTGTAACTGCGTTCATGCGCTCGCGCGTGTGTGCGTGTTTGTGTGTGTGTGTGTGTGTGTGTGTGTGTGTGTGTGTGTGTGTGTGTGTGTGTGTGTGTGTGTGTGTGTGATATTGTTCATCTGTCTGTGCGTGCGTGTACGTATGCGTTCGTGCGTGTACGTGCGTTTGCGTACGTGAGTGTGTTAGTATACCGCCATGCCTGAAAAGTATGTCAGATGATCCAACATGACTCACGGCGTTTGACACTGACTGATTTTACCGGCAGGAGGGGTAAAAGACCCGACACTGCTCCTCTCTCTTCTCCCTCTTCCGACGATGCAGGTGGCGCTGTCTCAACCAACGCACCAGCCAACCAACAAGAGAGCATCATCTACAGCGAGATATACGATTCGTCGACGCCTCATCAAACTAAGCTGCGCAATGATGTAGGGAGCGCCACTAGCCAGCCCGGCTGCATGACCTATAACGACATGTACATGGACATGAGTCGGCCGATTAACGACATGTACATGGACATGAGTCGGCCGATTAACGACATGTACATGGACATGAGTCGGCCGATTAACGACATGTACATGAACATGAGTCGGCCAATGGAGCTGCCGGAAACAATGGAGCAGCGAATGATAGTGGCGCCATCTATATAGCTCGACTATCAGTGAGTGACGAGTAGAGAACAGACCACTATTAAATCCTTAAGATTTGAATTTCTGGAGCTGAAAAATAGTATTTCGGTCGTTTTCGGCCGAGTGGCAATATTAAAGCTAGGTAGCCATGCACTTCAGCTGTGCACCATGAGAGTTATGACATATGTTGCCAAGCGTTTTAAAAAATATTGCGAATTTACTAACCGACACCACATTTGTGCCTTAAAAACAGTTGCGCAGTCGAATGGGGGCCATACATTGAAAGAATTCGTTTTAAATTACCAGTAACCATCCACCCATCTCCATGTGCATGTCGTTGCCACACACGATAGCCAGCCTAAATAATGCAACCACAAAACATCGCGTTAGCTTTAGTGCACGAGCTGCGGGCCCCTCAATTGGTCGGCCGATGACTCGTCAGATCCTCTAACCTAACAGGGTAATGAACCGGTAGTGATTTAATAGCGGTCACGTGTCTGTATAGAAACATTTTTTCAAACGCAATAAAATACGTTCCGACAAACACCGCTGCACACGGATGCAACATTTTGGTTTAATTCGCTGTTTGGTTTTTGAGTTTTGGCGATTTCTTTGACCCCACCCTCCCGGCTACAAGGCGATTCCGTTGCCCGTCTGCTTTGCGGAATGCCAAGTTGGTGCATAATTCGAGTAGTCACTAGAGTTGAATAGAATGATTTACATTGAATAAAATTGCATTCGCCTATGCCAGGGGTGGGCAAACTGCAGCCCGCGAGCCGCATGCGGCCCTCTACGAGGTTCTGTGCGGCCCGCGGAAGCCTAGATTAGAAAATATAAAAAAATCTATAAATTTTTATGAAAGTCAACGCTTGAACCGAGGCTGACTTTTTTAGTGTCATACAGATTAGTGTTCTATTGTCTCTGGGTTCGCTCTGCAACGCCATTTCAGCTAATTATGGCCCAGAGATGGTGCCCTTGAGGCGAAACGCACAAAGCCAATCCGCTTCCTCTCCTTGTTATATTAGAGCGCACCGCCTGATTTTAAAAGGGGCGGCCCTTTGACTTTTCATGGCCCACTGATGCGGCCCTCGCTCTAAAAAGTTTGCCCACCACTGGCCTATGCAAAACTTGATATTCTGTAATCAATAAATTATTTTTTTTTAAATCGCACGTCGAATACGATTTCTTGGTAATTTAGAATGCCACATGATCGGACATATAAAACGGGTCAAATTTTGCATTGGATTGAATAATTTTTGGAAACTAAAAGGGCTTTTTTGTCAAATTGATCTTGTTGTCTGCCATGCCAAAAATTAGCACTCGGAAGCAAACCGTTATTTTTTTATAGCGATTGAAGCGGCTGCGGGAATTGTCCACCAGGCGCTATCACTTCATAGGGTTATTGGTAGACGTTTTATTTACGCGCTCCAACAATGATGGCTGGAGGCAATTTTTATCATATCTAAAGAATAGGCATTTACGCTTTGCTGCGGATAGACACTATTGGCGAAGCGATTGACATCATGGACCGTTTTTATATTAAGACTTGTTCTAATAAAACAATACATCTGGGACCAGTTTATTTCAAGGCTGTAACTCATGCAAAATTCTTCTAGCTGATGCTTGAATGGGTGCAACAGACAGGCAGATAAACAAACACTGGGCCACAGAATGTTCAGTGTAGCCACAAAAGCCACTTTTCACGCAATAAACAATGCTAATTAATTCGTGGCAGACACGAATGTTGTATGAAAATTGTTACCCAAGCATCATTCTTGAATTCGCAGTGTCTCTTTATGCCGGTAATTACGCTGCGTGCCGATAGCGATTTCTATGGGCCTCCTTGTGGTAGATGCAACCACTGCAATCATACGATCATGCGACCTCAGCTCCCAAGGGTTAGGGTTAGGGATAGGGTTAAGCATAGTATTGCCATGACTAAAATTTGACCGAGAGCTAGGCTCAAGTACAGTATAAATTGACGTTAGTCTTACGAACTAGAATGCATTCGTTATTTGCAATCAAAAGTTTCATATTTTGCTAATGTGGCTGTTCTTTCACTAACAACATGGTCGCTAGATTTACTGCTCACCTCAACTATTAACATTCTCCGAGTCCAACTTTAGCGCATTACCAATAAATTATCACTCTTACGACTTTCTGCACAGCATTAAGCACGAGAAGACGAGTGAAATTAACTGCCCCGCACTCGCAGGTCATTAATATTTGAAAATGTGAAAATGCGTTTCTAACGACGCCTCGCCTTAATGCTCCCAGCAAACGACTGCAATCATTGGCACGGAGGCCACACTTTCGCACCCCACCCCCACCCGAAATATCAGTCCATCAGAGATCATGGCTAACCGTCGACTGGGCAGCGAGTGTTTTAATGCCCAGGCCACCCCAGCGAAATCTCAGTTCACGATTGATCGTGGCTGCAATGGCAGTTAGCTGACACGGAGGCACCCGCCATACATATGGCACTCAGCGGTCTAATTTCCGCCGCCACCCCCGGAAATCTCAGTTCACTGCCTGACGTGGCTGTCAGTGCAGTTACTGGCACGGAGGAACCCCCATAGGCATTGGCTACCAGCGGTCTATATACGCGCCCTGACATCTGCAGTTCAGGCAGTGACATGTATGGCTGCAATCACTGGCACGAGGCGGTTTCTGAATGGGGCAACCACCACTCCCCGCCCACCCCCGAACTCTCAGTCAGAGTGATCATGGTTTGGCATAACTGGCAGCAGAACGTGTTTGATGGGTTCCCTACCTCGAAATCATCCAATTCAGTGAGTATATGCGACATTTTGTTCAGTTTCCTAGCGATTCCATTTTTTGTATTTTTATTCTGTATTTTTCATTTCTCAATCACATTTGTTGTTGAGCTTGACTAACTTAACCGACAAAACATGAAAAACACCCGGAAATAAGATCTAGGACAAAAACAAAATTAAACGGCTGTAAAAAACGAGGCGGTTTCGTACTTAATTTTTATGAACGGAAAATCACACTTCACCGCGGACAAAAAAAATGTACCGACGGACCGACAGACAAGGTAAAAAATGTCGTTTTCACAGCGGTATTAAACAGTTAACCTCTATAATCAGGGAACACGCATGACACCGAACAAAAGGCAAACGACTGACGGTGATAAAAATTCAACGTGGCGCAAACGCATCATCACCACACCACGGAACCCACACCACACTCACACAACACACCACACGACAGCGCCCCCCCCACATACCAACAACACACCATCACACACGCGTCACCCCACAAAACAACCTGCCACCTCCCAGCTCCCCTCCCCCTCCCCATCATGCACCCGCACGGCAGCAGACGTAAAACATTAACAGCTTTCACCGGTTGAACCGCCAAGTTCTGAACCGCCAGTCAGCTAACGATCCGCGTGGCCCGTGGCTTGGTGTATTTTGTTGTGCGCGTCTTGTACGCGTGATACAGTCCGAACCTTTGATCAATTTTTGGCTTGAATGTCCTGGTCTTCGCGGGCAAGTCGGACGACTCGGTGTGGCGAAGCACGGGGAAGGAGGCTAGTCACAGCCCCTGCCCCAAAGGTCGTTGGATGACCTTCAGCGAAATCAGCGCGCATGATCACACGCTGAAGAACCGCGCGATTTCCCCAAGAGAGACAAAGTTATACTGACTATATATATATATATAGTAATATATGTAAACGTTTTCCCCGTTACGTGGGAACTCCTCCCACTGTTCGACCACTGGGATTGTACGCCGTCGCAGCAGAACAACAACCCCAACTAAAAAGGACAGTGTTTACCAAACCGGGATAGGTCCCGGGGCATTTTATACGCGCCCTTGGTCAACAGACCAGAGTGGGCATAAAACGGTCAATCTTCCTCGCAGGCGTAGGCCCGAGTATAGATAGCAAAGAATAGCGAGCGAGGCGCAAGCCTTACCCAAAACGATCCTCTGTAGAGAGCGCCAAGTCCTTGCAGAGATGCTGGTGATTGCTTACAGTGCTGTACGCTGGCGTTGTGTGCCTCCTCTCGCGACTGACCCGTTCCTGACTGCTGGCCTGACTGGTTCCCCGCAGCGCTGCCGGGTGAACTGACCTGGAACGAACCCACTGAGCTCAACTGAGGCTGAACTGAAACTGCCGGTGGGCTCTGGGGAAGCACGGTATTTATACGCTGCAGAGCAGGCCCGTCACGCACACGCGAACGTGACACGCAACGTCGGCTCAGCCGTGTCACGTAAGGTCAGCTTTCAGACGTGACCCGCACGCTATGGGCTTTAGACGTGAGCTCGCCAGCAGCCGCTTTAGACGTGACTACCGTGGGTCAGTTCCCCCGTCAGATCAAGCACGTCGGCTTCGGACGTGACGTATCGCCGGCCTTCGACGTGACGCACGATCGGCTTCACCGTGACCGGTCGGTCGGCTTCGGACACGCTCGTGCCAGACAGCGTGCATTTGCCCTTACCATGTGGGGGTGAGCCCCCTCACATACCGCCGGGGATCGCTGGGACGTGCCGCCGAGAGGCAGAACGCGGGATGTGATTGCTGCGGCAGACCGAAATTCGTTCAAAGCTACCCCCTTCCGCCCTTCGAGTGCTCGCCCGCGAGATTCGACCAATGGGGGCGACTACACCCACCATTCGGCCGCAAGCACCACACGCAGTAGCGCAATTCCGTACTCAACGGCGTGCAAGAGTAGTGCGGCGTTTACGTCGCCCACTCTCTCCCAGATCGTCCCAGACGCAGCCCAACTCTTACGACAGGCCCGTCAAGCGTTGTCCGGCAAAGAGTCCTTGTGCGTTGCGTGCACAACCGCGGGGAGAACCGGAGAGCACCCTAAAACGTGTTTGCTTCTTCCCGCTATCCGAACCGCGGATATCCTGGCCCTGACTGCCGATCGCAGGGAGTACAGGATAGGGAGTTTCGTAATATTCACCCGCGCGCTAGAAGTAGGACCCTGTGGACCTTCCACCAGTCGGTCCGTGACCTATAACCCTCGGCTCTAACCGGTTGTCGGCCCAGTGACGTCAAGCGTCATAAGCTACGTGGGACACAAACTGTATGACGTCACCGCTCGGTA